GGAAATTTTGCTTGGCTATTATAGCCCCCCCCCCCCCCTCAGGAATTCCAGATAACCCAATAAAAAATTTTAGCATTCAAATTAGTTTTCCAGGGTGCACTGCAACTTTTCATTTGCATGTCGAAAGTCAAGCTGTGTCAAGAATGTGTTGACTCCTTGAAAGATTTGCGGGAAAACTACTATAAGACCGTTAAAAGAAAGGAATTAAAATAAGACCTATTTTTTATAAGGAAGGAAACACGTAAAATATTAAAAACTCATCATTTGAATGGAAACTCATTTCGAAACACCTGTTGAAAAAAAATAATTTTCAACTCACCTATGACAACGCTGGACGTCGTGTTATTATTCATCCTTCTCGGTCGATGACAAACTCTTTATTTTTTCAGCGTCCAAGGATAATCACGCAACTCAAATGATTCCAATTTATTTTACCCAAAAAAATTGGAAGAACTTGTTCGCCGTTTAGATGAATTCACTGCCAATCCAGCCTTCAACACAAGAAAAGGAACTCATTAAATTATCAATACGGGCAGATGACTGACACAGTAATACAGTATAAAATGAAATTTTTTAGACGAGGCTTGCCCAATAGCATTGGACAACCAGCACACACACAGCTTGTGGAAAACAATAACACTCATTTCTTCATGCCTTCCGATGGACAATATGTTTTCATGATGAAGAAGAATTTCCTCACGTCCGCCGAATACTTTTTTATTTTTTTCGCTTCCGGGGTGAAAACGCGCTCATTCTTCATTATTTTCTGAGGATTCTGTAAAGGACTGAAGATTCCTAATTATTCTTTGAATTTCTCTGAGATTGTCTCAACATTTCTGAGCAAAAGTTTTTACTTCTTAGGACTATTGGTATAAAAAAATATTCTCTTTTCCCTTAAACTGAAAGTCTTTCCCAGAAAATTATTTGGATGGACGAAATTTTCGAAAGAGAAAAATATTCATGTTATGAAGACATTATCCACTTATAACCTATAGAAATGTGGGTTGTGTAGACGAACTTTAAAAACAAGTGTCCTGTCATAGTTTTTTTTAAATCTGCAAATAGGTCTTGAATAACATGTTTACCGCTTTGAAATCTAATACAACGTACGTATTTTTCACAGTTGAACACAATTCAAATGTAGACATTCAATTCATCATGGCATCACTTTGACCGTGATCAATACAAATTCACACTCCGAAAGTTTGCGCATTAGTTCAATTATCCACGTCCAACAATTTTGTCTCACACCCTTCTATACTATTTGGGACCAAACAATTAATGAATTTGGACTGTGATTCGAAAAAAAAAACAGGAGAGAAGAGGTCCCAATACTTATTGCATGAAGTTTTTAAGGCACACATAATTCTTCGATGCAGCACTCATCTTTCCTTCTCGCTCCGGAAAATTATGAGTTGAGACTAAAAATTGCACTGAGTCACAGTAGAGAGGAACTGCATATGTGAAAATCCGCATTTTAAAGATGTGGTCAATTTTTTTTTGAGAGCGCTGAAAAAATGTCAACTCCACATCACTTCTCTCCATGCAGAGAATGTTCCAAACTCGGCCGACATGGTCCATTTTTTTTTCTTCTCTTATTTTTTAGCACTGAAACTAACTCTGCTTCACTTCTTGAAAAACTCGTCCCAACTCTGACGACGACCTGTGAGGCCGGAGAAGCGCCAAAGAATGATCGGCAAAGGACGAGGTCCGAGAGGGTCTAGCATAAAAGAAAAAAAAAGAGGCGCGCGCGATATTTTAAATAATTTTCTGAAATTTTATGCGAGGCCAGGAATTCACAACATCATCCAGTTCAAGCTGGACTCGATCCGCATTAAAAAAATACCATAATACAACGTCATTCGGATACGGTCATGAAAATGAAATAAGCTCGGAAATTAATTTATGGGTCGTTTCCATGTGATGATGAGGTTGAGTTACAGAGTGTGACCACAATTACTTATTTTGGCGCGTAGATTTTCAATTATTTTATTTTTTTGTGTCGCCCAGATCTTTGGATTCTTATTGCGGAGTTCTTCCATAGTAATCAATGATCACGAATGACATTGCAAAATGTCCCGCGGAAAATTACTACGCCTTTCGTCGCATTTGAATTTAAAATAAGTCATTTTATACGCACTTCGCACGCCATAGCGGAAAAAAGTGTTTTCTTTGTAAAGAAAGGCATTATACAATTACATTCCTAAAATTTATATTTTGGAAAATGCTGAGAGATAAAAAAAATCGATGTTATTTCCTGTTCAAAGAATTACCTTTTTTCGAATAAGTACAATATTCCAAATACTGTGATTTCTTTTTTGCGCTCAGTGAGTCGTGCTTGAACTTGACCTCATCGAATAAAATACTGCCAAAGTGTAAACAAATTTTAATCGAAGCTTGGGAAAGAGTTAATCTTTACGGATAAAAAAAAAAGGATGACGACCATAAAATTCCAAGTTTATTTTTTGTGCAGTCAAAAAGCGAGTAGCGGTTTTCGCGGTCGAAGTTCTGAGGAAACTCTTGAAAAACCAAAGATCTGTATCCACTCCTTCCCTTCCCCTTTGTTCTCAAACAATATGAAGAACAGTCGTGCTTGAACTCACTAATAGGGTATTTCTTGGTTCACCGGATTATATTAAAATAAAAAGGGCTGTCATGACCAGCAAAATCCCGGAATATAATCGCAATCCAACACAAGAATGACGCATTTACTGACAGTTAATTTGTGCGTCAGACACGAAAGTCTTCGACATCTACTGCGGATTTAGTTTCGAAAATAGCAATTGCTTTTATTTGCAGTAAAAAAAATATTATTTCCAAGAAATCGGATGCTGTCAGTATTGACTGCAACGGAGTATGTCTGGAAAAAACAAAATTTTCATCTCTTCTTTAAATCAGGAAGCAGGTCGGACTTTTATTAAAAAACCATATTTCTTCATATCATTGTAAAAAAAAAACAAAAAAAAACTAGGAAATTTTTTTGGATGCAAATGTATGAGTAATTTCTGTACCGAAAATATTCTATAATACTGTATATGCAGATGTTAAATCACTGACGATAATTTCGAGAGCATTATGATCAAAATTCACTTGCTCAAACTTTACTTTATGAAGATTTCGTGAAATATTTGTCATATGCTGCATCTAGATTTTAAAAGCCTTCAAACTCGAGCATTCATAAGATTAATTCCTCTAAATGCTTTTCTTTATCTTTTTAGACAAAAGAAATTGTGCTTATCCTGAAATAATTCCCAACAGAGCAAATCGTGCACCAAATTTTCATATGTTTAATATCGAAGAGTAGAGTTTTGTCAAAAAATCCGGAAGAACGCCTCATTTTTAGACGAAAATTAAAACGCTGAAGAAATTTTTCAATATAATTATATCCGCAGCACTTATTGAAGCTCTGAAGTATCAGTGGAATTAGGTCAATACAATTTTGGAATCTTTTACAAAACTTCATCTTCAGGCAGTGGGTATAAAATGATGCGGAAAGCGACAAAAAAATATCCCCAATCAAGAATCCGGATGAAATAAGGGTTGTTCAAAACAAAGGAAATAAATGTGAAGCGGAAGAAAGCTTTGTACTGTACAGTATTTGTATCCTGGCGTTATTTCACATTATTTGTGCTGCCCGGAACAATAGTAACGTCTTTCTGCCATTATTTATTGAATTATATGCTTAGGAAAGCAGAAAATTTGCCATGACGTGGAATCCGCTCATGTCTAATTTCGTCTCAATTTGCATTTATCTTCTTCAGAAATAATGCTTCATGCATCTACATCATATATACAGCATTGCATTGAATACAGTGTACATATAAATGCTCCAAGCATTGTTTGGAAATTAGCTGAATTGCCGGCTGGAATGATGATCATTTGTAAATCTGAACTTTGAAGTTCACCTTCAGCTGCTTCAGGTTGAGTAAAACATCCGCGAATGAGTGGAATGTATAAAATATAAACCCCCTTCAAACGAGGTTATAAAAAAAATTATACATATACACGACTTGTAAAGGTCTCAGCCTTGTACAGTAATCGATTTCAACATCAGTGCTTCGTAGTCGTACACATTTTTTCATATACTGTACTTACTTAATTCCCGGTTGCGTAGATTTCGACTGACAAGCTTGAATATGGAACGGTAGCTAAACCCAGAAAATTCCTGATTCACTGCGAAAAATGGGGTCAATTTAATAATTTTCGAAAAGAAGGAATCCAGAAATTAGAGAAAATGAGCTACTAGCTGCATTTTAATGCGCGAAAATTGATCCAATCCAGAGAATATAGTCTTATGTTTCTAAAAAATCAATACAACTGTATAATTATAGAACTGCAAAGAAAACCATGCTGATGGGTATATCTTTGAATTATCGGCATTTTGTAAATTATATGCAAATTTAGTAGAGTTACAGTATTCGTCGATCCTGTGCAGTATTAGAAATACTGCATATATTTTGAACTCAAGATTTGCACTGATAAAAGAGCGACATCTAACAAACAAACGGCTTCTTCAGGACGAAAAATCTTTGAAGTTGTTTCAGTATCGATGTCGCTAAAAGAATGGAGATCTTCAAAATGAAACTTCTCCTCTGAAAAATGGTAATACGAGTACTGAACCCGCCTTTCCATCGAAGTTGCACTTGAACAATTTCCTTCAACCGATCGACAAGCAGTAGGATTCTTGAATTGAAAATTTTAATACCACGTCTCATATGTTCGGAAACCAAAAGAAGTCCCCCAAAAATGTGAAGAAATGTGCGACTTTCCTTAACTTTAAGATGCATAAGAAGAAATAAATCTCAAAGAGCATAAAACAACTATGCATACCGCTTTGAGTTGATGGAACCCCCCCCCCCCCTCTGCCCCCAAAAAAGAAAGATATTCTTGAAAATTATGAAACTGGTTTTGTAGAGAGAGAGAATATGCACTGTGTTCAAAGATTTATTTTCGCTTTATTTCCTTGGATGTGGCTCAATTTATTTAAGAGACATCAAAATTCTTACATTACGGTATGTCATACTTCTGTCTTTCTGGAAAATTTGTCAAATCGCCCGTACCATATTATGAGACGTAGTGGGCAGATTTTTTGAGATTGAAAATTCAAATTTATCAAAATTTCAGAGCATTGATCTCACTGTCAATATTCCTGCGTCAAGCAATTATAAAGCCTATTATAAAAGTTCTTCGATTCAATGCCTGAAAATCGAAGAATTGATTCGGAATGAGGTCAGTCGTCATGGAATTGCTATAGCAGTATAGAGCAAAAAAAAAAAATTGAAGGAAAAAATGGGGAAACCCGAATAAAATCAGGATTTCATCATTCCGGGAAGTTCATTCAAATCCCAGGCATGGCATTGGATTCGGGAATACTTCTTTTTCGATGTAATCTGAATATATATTCATGGCGGATATGTGGTCAGGCCATCACCCAGCCCCCAGGGGAAAACCCCGTAAGAGGTCGAACCAACTTCCCCAGGATATAATGCGGGGGAAGTTTTCACCA